CTCCCCCCCCCGAAAATCTGAAGTCCCCCCCCACCCCGAGGGGAAATTTCTGAAAGAAACACTGGATGTATGTATAAATAAATCGGGCTTAATTAACCGGGTGCAGTTATTTTGAGAAGGTCAGGGCCGGCCCTAAAATTGCTGGCGCCCAGGGCGAGCTTAAATGTGGCGCCCCATTTAAGTATAATCATAAAAATGTGTGCAAGGAAAAAACTGGGGAGTAAGTAATTAGTTTATTACCCATGTAAATGCAAATTCGACCATGCTAAGACACTTCTGAGAGAGCTGCACTGGCTGCCGATTCGCGCTCACATAGAGTACAAAATTGCGACTTTGTGCTACCGTTGCTTACATGACCTGGCGCTGTGCTATCTCAAGGCACTCATGACGCCTTATGTACCCAAACGACAGCTCCGCTCATCCGATAGTGGCAAAATATCGATACCACGTGTTCGCCTTGAGACTTACGGACTTTCGACTTTTGCATTTGCTGGCCCAACAATTTGGAACGCCCTTCCTGTTGCTCTCAGAAACAGTCAAACACTGGAGTCCTTTAAAACCGATTTAAAAACTTAGCTATTTCGCAAACACCTTCTGGATTGATATTGACTATCATATTTTTCCAGTTAATGTATATAGGCTTGTGTTGCTAATGGTTGAAATGGGATGAAAGACTTTGACTGGGTATGCTCGTATGTAATTTTTATATTGTTGCGTCTGTTTTTAAATGTGGAAAATTTTATATTGTGTTTATTTCTCTTTTTAATATGGTGGACTTTGTACCGCACTTTGAGCTTTTGGGGATGAAGCGTGTTTTTCAAATAAACTTTATTATTAGTATTATTATGTTTTTCCTTTAACAAAGAGTGAACAATAACATTACTCTTTGCCTTGTACATGTATTTGGACAGTACGCACAATTAACCCACCGATGACATTTTCTTCCTAGCCTTTAGATCAGCTAACCTTGTTGTTGAAATTTCTATTTTTCTTCCATGGTAACATGCAGAGGGGGGTGGGGGGGGGAGAGGAGTCATTAAAGGGAAATCTTATACTAGGGGTTCTCAAACATGTTGATCGTCGTACCGCTTAAATCTGTTTCAAATAGTGTGTGCACCACCTTATGCTAAACCGTAATTCATTTTTGTCATCCACTTGATATCTTTAGTACGCACAAGCATTTTTCTAAAACATTTGTGCACCATCTGGAGCAATATAATGTTCGACTATAGGCACAGGTACGATAGTTTGAGAATCATTGCCAGCACTTTGCTATGTAGATGACTTGCGTGCTGCATTAAGGACTGTACAGGCAGTCCATGAGCCACGGAAGCTATCAGATTTCATTACACACTGAGATTTGGCAAGCGCCGCTTAGTCTGCATTATGAAACGGAGAGAGATTATTTTTAAACATTTCTTTCTTTCGACTGGGATAAAGCCGAGTTCAAGGAATTGATTTTTTTTTTTTTTTTTTAAAGAAGATTCGAGGTTTCAGACACAAGAAAACCAAAGTTTTGATGACCTGGTGCGTTTCAAGAAGCAAGAGTAATAGAATAACATAATTTTTATATCGCTGGGTGGTAAACTTTTGTTCACTTTTTAGATTTTAGCTCTTTGATTGCAGTGGAATCTGATCACGGACGTAGGGATGAAAGGCGTGCCTAAATAGATAGAAAAAAAAGAGCCTCCCGTGGCGGATCAGTACAAATACGATTTTGGACGCCTCCTGCCTTCGTAAAATACAAGGTATTTTTTTATAGCTTATTCACTATTGAGGTCTTATCTTAAGACCATTCCCCCCCCCTTCCCACCCACACCCCAATGTTGGCACCTTGACGAGTACCCTTCCCCCTTCTTATGGCCCTGCAAGAGGGCAATGTGAATGCGGCACCATAAGGTGACACGGTGCATATTTTGGGAACCACAGGGCTCGCCAGACAGCGGTGAGAACACTTGACACGTGTTTGTTTTTTTTAATGTGACGTCACTATTTTTTTTTTTTTTAATCTGGGGGAATGGGGCTTTGAAAGCTCATTATACGNGCGTCCAAAAAGTACGCGCCTAAAAAAGGGGGGGGGGCGAAAATCTGACTTTTTGCGTACGTTCGTTATGCTTGGACCCTTATCTAGTATTACATAACTTATGACATAGTCACTTTTGTAGATTATCAAGTGTTACATAACTTATGTCTTAGTCACACTTCTAGATACCAGGTATTACACAACTAGATGTGCAATGTCATGATTGTCATCGACTTAATGTATCTGAAAAATATTTTTAATTCTTTAATTAGCACACGTTTTTCCTCAAAATGTATAACTACTGCTCTTGGAAGTCTTGGTCTTCACCACCTCACCCCCCCTTTTTTTTTCTTCTTCTCTCTTTGAGACTTATTTCTCCAGGTCCCAGGTCAAATCTGTACTAGTTGTTTATTCCTTTGCATCCTAAAGATAGTTTTGTCCAAATCTATCAACTTAGGAGCAAAACCCCAACTTCCGGCAATAACATTATCATTGATGCCGAAAGCCGACCACTTAAGTTTGTTTACTTTCTAATCTATGTCCTGTTATTTCTTCATTTGTCCTGTATGCCGGGGAAGGCTCTTAGCCCAAACGTTCTTCTTTTGTTGTCCTGTCCTTCAATTTCAAGCCTCCACATGCCTTGTTCTTTTTTTAATGTCCTGTCTCAAGCTTCCACATACCTTGTTCTTCTTTTAATGTCCTGTCCTATTTTAAGCTTTCACATGTTCGCCCGTAAACTTTAGGAGGAGAGCGCAAGTAGGTAATTTATGCACTGGTTTGGAGGGGGGCGGGTGGCGTCAAATTTTTGGTTCCCGTCCGTTGGAAATAGCCTGAAGACAACAGCCAACTTGACATGGGATTGAAAATGATTGAGCTTTGGCAATATAGCTTACCGATTTGACCACACACGGCTGGGTTAAAAACAACAACCAACAAAAAACAACCGTTATGTAGTTTTAGATGAAGATAAATTACTTAACTGGAGAATACAAACAAATAGGAAGCCCAGTTAGGAATTTGAAATATTTACATTGTATTAATGCATGAGAGAATACACAATAGTTCATAGATTGAGTGCTATCAATTAAAAACAACAACAACAACAGCAAATTGCAAATACATATAAAATCCTGGAGCTGGGCCGATTACTTGAAAACTATTGGATCATTCACCAAATGAACCATTTATCAATGCAAGGATTAGATAAGTGTTAAGGAAAGAAATGGAGAAAAAAAACAAGATTATTATTGCTTGATCATATTCCTTTAGGTATTTCCAGGTCATTTTGGCAGAGCTGGTACTTAAGCTTTTCTTGATATGGCATGCATTGTATGCACTGAAAAAACAAAAAACTGTTCAAATTGAAATAACTTCTTCCAACTTTCTCTATATCACTAATCACATTAACTAGACTAGGTACAAACAGATTTAAAAATGTCTCCTCATAATTTCAATGTTTAAAACAATGAGGATCATTGTCTGGAAGTCAACTACAAAGTGGTAAAATGTGATTAAGGATAACAATTTTTTAAAAATGAATAAAAAGCTCCTTTCTGGGTAATATTATGATGGTAATAGGGTCAAGTTATGCGTATGACTTTTGTTCTCACATTTGGCAGAGATATGGCACTCGGCTCTGAATATATTTTGGTTACATCTTCCATCTCCTAACAGCTGAAACAAGAATGATATAAAAACTATCATAAATTCAGCACCTGAACCCCCTACAGTCATAAATTTAATGCTTTCATGGATAATCCTGCCCTAGCAGTTTGACTCAAGGAATGCAGATCAAGCTTTTTCACATGCACTAACTTTTAGACACAACAGGACTTAGTGGGCCAGGTCATGAGCATGCATAGTGGGCCAGGTCAATACCTATTGACTTAAAATGACTATTGAAATCGTGCTTCAGTTCTCTTACACTTTATGGTTCAACTTAGATCAAGGAGAAGTAGAAATCATTCTTTCGAGTTGAAAAAACAACAACCCACCTAATGTCAGAAGTACTTAACCAATTCAGATTGAAACCTCTAATGTCAGGAGTACTTAACCAATTCAGATTGAAACCTCTAATGTCAGGAGTACTTAACCAATTCAGATTGAAACCTCTAATGTCAGGAGTACTTAACCAATTCAGATTGAAACCTCTAATGTCAGAAGTACTTAACTAATTCAGATTGAAACCTCTAATGTCAGGAGTACTTAACTAATTCAGATTAAAACCTATAATGTCAGGAGTACTTAACCAATTCAGATTGAAACCTCTAATGTCAGGAGTACTTAACCAATTCAGATTGAAACCTCTAATGTCAGGAGTACTTAACCAATTCAGATTGAAACCTCTAATGTCAGAAGTACTTAACTAATTCAGATTGAAACCTCAGTTTCCAAACCTGTGAGCCAAGGCAGGCCTTTTAACTATTACAATGACAGCTAAGAATGAGTCTGGAGTACTTAAGCGAATGCACTGGTAAAACACGTCCATTATTTCATATGGTCTTCTATAAAGGGTCCTTCCAATGTGGCCCTTCATTACAAAAAAGTTTGGGGGACCTCTGGTTTAAACTCAATATGGTTTAAAGCACAATGGAGTTGAGATCACTAAATTACCCTCAATGTGAGAAATATGAATTTCTTGACAAGCGTTATGAAAAGTCAATTCAAATGACCAATAGGAAATAATAAATATGTCACTGATATATTCAAATCACTTATAGGAAATGATGAATAGGTAAGTGAACTATTAGAATGACCTATAGGGAAAAATGATGAATAGGCCACTGAAATATTCTACTGACCTATATGAAATGATAAATAGGCCATTGAAATATTCTAATGACCTATATGAAATGATGAATAGGTCACTGAAATATTCTAATGACCTATATGAAATGATGAATAGGTCACTGAAATATTCTAATGACCTATAGGAAATGACGAAAAGGTCACTGAAATATTCTAATGACCTATAGGAAATGATGAATAGGTCACTGAAATATTCTAATGACCTATATGAAATGATGAATAGGTCACTGATATATTCTTATGACCAATAGGGGGAAAAAAAGTCGTGAAACATAGAGTTAATGACTTAGTATGAATCATTTACAAGTAAATGTCAGTGAGGAAATCAAAGTAATGCTTGACACTTTTTGAACAAAGTGTTATTTTTGACAGTGCTCCAACATCCATCAATGTTTTTACTCAAACAACCGATAATGGGAGAACACCAGATGGACAAACCAAAGATGAAACAAAGCAGCTGTGCAAGAATAAATTCAAGATCAACAAATTCAAATAATGATGCATAAATATTATCATTGCAGAGAATTATGCGAAATGGATTTAGTATAGAGTAGAATTTCAAATTTTCTTGACATTGCCTTGTCCCAGTAAAAGTAGATTAAAATGTCAATTTTGGCACTAAACTTGAAAACAACACATGCATGTCAAGTTTTACAAATAAAATGTTCTTGTTTTAACCTTCACCAAGTTTTTTCTCAGAAACAATTAACATTAAGCTGATTTTCTAAAATAAAGAAAAAAAAAAGGGTTATATTGCAAAAGTATTGAAAGAGGGGTAAAAAATGTGTTAATTACATAACATCTTCTCTCCAAAGAAGATCATTTTGATTTAGTGGGGCTTTGCTTTCATTTGATTACCAGGGCTGATGAGTGGAACTATTTATTTATTTTGTACATTTTCAAAACAAGGTTTATGTAATTAATTTTTAAGCCTTATATCTATAGTTTCTTTCTTTAAGATGGGAAAATATGTTCAATTTTGTTACAAAAGAATCATATGAATACAAAATTAGCAAAGTGGTAAAAGAAAGTTGTGTTGAAATATAAATACATAATTTAATCAAAACTTTTAAGCAATTTAAATTGGTGACAATCACTCACAGAAATAAAATTTGGATAGCAGATATAGCAGTGTAAGGTCAACCACATACTTCATAAACAAGACATAGTTAAACTCAAAGCCTATATTTACCATCGCCCAAACTACACGCTGGCTAGAAAATGGAGCATGTACATTAGAGCATGTATCAAATACACAGAGCAAGATTTTTATTTTAAAAAAACAGGTATTTATTAGTTAAATAAATAGTCAGTTTACAATATACATGCCAAAATTCCATTAATAGAAAATAAATTTTAACCAATCAGGATGGGGCCTTTTATTTTCCCTTTTACCATGCAGGAACAAAAGAATGAATAGTTGCTATCATTCATTTGAACCAAGATAAAGCTTTCAATGAACAGAAAGGCTAACCAATCATAATGTGTCCATAAATCTATACACTCATACGTTTGCCATGATGAGAAATTGTGAAAGAAAGAAGCTTTTCATGCTTAAAGAGTCAATATCAATAATTACCACAGCTCATTTTGATTGAAAGAAAAGTAAAACTCGTGACACTTTATTGCATCTGGTTGACAACTGATAAATGGCATAATGTATGCATGTGAGGGGAGAAAAAAAAAAGCATGATAAAAATCAATACAGTAAATTGATTTTGAATTTATTTTCTTTTATTACTTTCTAAGTCCACCTTTGAAATTTTCACAGCATAAACATGGGCATAAAAAATATAGATGAAAAGTTAGGTCAGCAGAAAGACAGTGGCCTCAACTATGGAAAAGTACAACTCAGATGTGTAAGTCAGTGGCTGAGTAGGGGGTGTAAAACATGGACAAGTTTCTTAGTCTGTGAAAATGAGATCATATGACAATTGCGAGGAAATAATCCATAGCACCTGCATTTTCTGATAGGGAGTTGAGGATATTGCATATTACTGCAACTCTTTCATCTCATGGTCAGACAAAATCTATTTTTAACAGATAGTTATACATATGCCAGGAGAGCTAAGCCTTGAGGGTTGTGACATTGTTAGGGTCTGAGAATTTTGTTATTTGTGCAGAGGGACCCAGAGTCTTTTAAACAGCTTCAAATTTTTCAGCAGGGTTGCAAACAATAAGAAAGTTGTAGGCATTTCCGTTAAAAGTTATGATGGCTTAAAAACAAAAAATATTCAACTGCCTCAATTTGCTTCTATGTCACAGGAACGTGGAGAATTGTGTGGTGCCATTGGTATTATTTGTCTAGCGGTCATCAGAAACAAAAATTGTTCAAATCAAAAATAGAGAGGACAGTGAAATGTTTAAACTTAACCTGACAAAATGAAACCAGCCAATGGCAGAAGTATTTGTATGGTTTGCATATGATTTCAGAGCCACGCAGTCAATGGCATGAAGAACGTGCTGCATCATGCATAAGTTGGGTTCTAACGCAATGGTCACAATAAATAGTTACAACACTATATTCAAAACTGAAACAGGTATTTACACACAAAAACATAAGTTGTATGTAGCTTTCATCACATGTGCATAAGTTCAAAAATGTACAAAAGTAAGAATAGTAATGGAACAAATTTAATAATAATATTATCATTAAAACAAATATGACCCAATCATAGAAATTAAAAAAAACAACCAAAGTGAAAAATATTGTTTACTGTCAAACCACTTGGTCAATGTGAAAACCATGAAATGATCATAATTGAGGTTAATCTTAGGTGTAAAATTTCATTATTTCATGAATTTTGTTTTGGGGAATAATATTCTTAGGGACAACACAAAATAATATATCTAACAAAACTGTGCAGACAGTAAAGAACATTTTTTTTTAACTTGCAATAATTTAATCCTCCTTTAACAATTGCATTTTTACATTATTTGATATAGAACAGTAAGATCGGTTACAGTTAACCATTCGGTTTCAGTTAACAATTTGCTAAGAATGTAATGATTCCCCCCCCCAAAATATAAGTGAAACTCTCTGTTGTCTCTTCCAAAATAATATGTTCACAATCAATACAATCAAACGCTAGAAAAACACAAGGGTTGGATGTAACACTTTCAACCAAGAGAAATGGCCTGAGAATCAGTTACTGCATATAAGATATTGCCCAAAGTCATCAATACAAGCATGCATTTATTTATACAACTTTTGATCTCCTTTGCAATGGCTAAAATAAATAGTTCTCATAGGCTAACAATGGCATTTCATATAAATGGACGGCTAATATCACAACCAGGATAGCCAGAACCACAAATATTACTGGGGACTGCATAAATAGTCTTTGTACAAGCATCCTCAATAGTCATCGACTGCCCCTGCGATTCATGTACTCAACTATCTGAAAAAGCAATTGATATAATATTCAATATTTTGTTTGCAATTTTGCATATGTATTCGTTTTTAAAAACAGGCACAACATCAAATTTACAGTGCTTTTTTTAAGAGAAGAAAATGTTTAATAATATTTTTTTTTAAACCACGAACTGTCCATTGTATGTTTCTGTACTGTGCAGGCAGTTTAGAGCTTTTTGGGTGCCTTTGAAAAATGTGATTTTTCACATGCAAATACTATAGCTAGACGCCATAAAGTATTTATTTATTTATTGAAAGTAGACTGGGTGGGGAATCATAATGGCTATTTTTTAATGATATTTTATACTTGCTGAACATGACCTTGACCTTGGAGTGACCAGGAATAAAGAAAATAAAGAACATTTTTCTTTTCAAGTACCGTACCTCAAACTACAATTTTTTGAAGGCATATCATTATAATGTTTATATAATATGAGAGCATTTTTATTTATCTTTCCAAAAATGTATTATTGGTATATGTTTTAAAGATTAACCGATTTTTAAAAAAAAATATTCTTCCGATACCTATAATTACGTTCAAGGAACAAAGTAAGACATAAAAAATGTAAACATTACTAAATAGGAAGAAACAGATAAAATTTTAAAAGCTGCTATATAAATATTTCATCCATAAAATGAAATATAAGAAAACATATTTAGAACAACATCCAATTATTTTTTGTTGGTACAAAATCATCTGCAACATAGTTTAGAATGAGTCCTGTTGTTGCCGCATCGGCTACTTGCTCTTGGCCTAGGTCTAAATCGTTCGAACTTTCGCTTTCTGATGCACTATAATTGTAATAGGAATTAGCATTGTTTTCGTGTGTGATTGGAAAATCATCTTCCGAATCACTTAAGTCATTAACTAAAAAGAATTATCAAAAAGATTCCTAACTGATTTATTTTGTTAGCCAGATGTTTCAGCTATGGCCTCATCCACTTCGTGAAAATCTACCGACACAAATGTGCTTGATAAAGATCATTGTAAAAATAACTCCAAAGTTTAAAAAAGGACACACAAGAGCGAAAAACGGAAGTTCATTTATTAATAAAAGGAAGTAGTTTTATTTGGTGTAAAATATTGGACTGGAACTTTTTCTTACAACGCATTTTTTATCTGCCATTTTTATCAGCCGACACAGTTTGGGAAGAGGAAATCGGCCGACGACAGTTTGTGGGTTAAATTACGTGTAGTGTGAAGAGTTTTTTTTTAAAATAAGAGATTAAAAACCAAAAATCCTAAATTAAACTTATTGATCAGTAGCTTACCTTTTTCAGTGCTATCAGCCTTTCCTTTAAGCTACACATGCCTAACATTGCCATCTGAACACGTGAATCCAAAGGCAAGACAGCCATTGCCCACCAGGCCCAAGCTGGGCCATTGACAGAGAAAGAAAAACTCGTGTCTAACTCAGGAAGTACACCAAAGTGCTGCCTGATCCTTGCATTGTGTGAAGATGGCAGTTTTGACAGCCAGGTATTAATCATTGCATGTATCTCAATCTGTAGGGCATTGACAGCTATAGACACAAGAGGTTAGAGTCAATAATTTTTAATAAATATTGGGTGGTTTTTTGGGGGGTTTTTTGTATGAGGGAAAATAAGGTATTTTGGGGTCTTCATCAAAAATGATTTCCTTGTGTGACTTGGTTAAAAAATCAGTACGAACATTTATAATTGACTATTGAAGTTGACATATCTTTGACAATGGCTCTGAATTTTAAACCGAGTTTTCGTTCTATTTTATAACAAAAATAAAAAGTAAATTATTATACATATAAACTTACACTGAGTATCTTCCGGGGCTATTGGTTTGTCTGAAAGAAATTCAACTTTGGCAGTGTTGTAGCCATCACGCTTTCCCCGGCTAATCACCTTGAAGCGCCTGCCTCCTTTAGTGTCTACAACAGAACGACCATCAGGAAAATATTGGACATCTCTTATTTCCAGCATGCAACCGAAGTCTGAAAACTCATTGCTGATGGAAAGATGGTTACACTTATTTATTCACAACATCACACTCAAACAATATATTTCTGTAATTTTATTATTTTTTTTTTATTACAACACTTATTTAGTTTTCAAACCTTAAAGTTATCAATGTGATAAGAAAATAATTCCTGCTCTAGAAACAAAGATTTATTTAAATTTGTAGACTTGTGTCCATTTTTCAAACATGACAATTTTAAAATTGTGATAAATTTTTTTACAGATAGCTGGTTCAAATGCTACCAACAGATACGTCAAAACTGATCACCAAAAACTCACTCGTTATCACTTGAAGGCAAGCACATGCCAAACTGCCGAGTTCCAGATTCCATACACTGTCGAACCATGAGGCGATAACGGGGCTCAAAAATATGTAGCGGGCATGCAATTGTTGGGAAAGTTAAAGTGCATACAAATACTGGTATTTCCGATTGTTGATCACTTCCCATTCTGTTGAAACACAAAAGAATTAAGGTTGACTTGCAGACGAATTGAATAGATCATTTCTTGTGTTCCCTATCTAAAGTACTTAACGAGCTTTTAAGAGAAGGAGCTCATGATAATAGGGGATAAGCTTTAGAGACAGACATCCAAAAAAAAAACAAAAAAACACAAAAAACAAAAGATCTGAAATTACTGTTTCATTTTTACAGTAATATTAAAAATACCAGCAGGATTTAGAGTCTAAAAAGTAATTTTTATAATCCAAATAACAATAAGAAATGAACTATTAAATGGCTCTTCCATTTTGTTAAGCATTTCTTTAAAAATTTGATAAAACTAATTAAAATTAGTTATTATTTTTGGGAGTCTCATTTTATAGAAGTTAAAAAAAACCAGACAGCCATTTTAAAAACAACTGAATTCAGATTTTATTTTTTCACTTCCTTACCTTGCAAGTTCAATCATCTCTTCATCATTGATTTTACATCTTTCAATGTATTCTTGTTTAAAATAAGTTTCCATTATACACTGGATAGCATCAGTCACTGCTTGTCTTCGTTCAGCTAGATACTAGAAAAGTTATTAAAATTTAAAAAACAAACATTTTATCGAAATATTTTGAAGTAGGCTGATGAATAAAAATAGAAGTTTTAAATAAATTTTGTAAAAACATGCAATATTTAGGTAGTGAGACTTTTGACCCTTTAATATTACTAATTAGCTATCATTCCAATAAAGGTCAAGGGAGTATTCAATATATTGTTACTTAAATATATTTTTAAAAATAATACTTTGATCTACATTTTCACAAAAGTAAATCCATACCTCTGCCAAATTTCCCTTACACATCGGGCATGTCACAGTGTGGTCGAGACATCTATCCAGACATTTGCGGCAAAATGTATGCCCACAGGGAGTGGTGACAGGTTCAAAAAATAACCTATAACACAGACCACACTCCAAATCTTCAATATTCGTCTGTTCTGGTTTCATATGAGTTGGAAAAGCTGGCTCTGCAACAGCAGCAGTGAGTGGTGATAAACTTTTATCTGATGCTGAAGAGTTTGAGGTAGATTCTAAAGGAGGGAGGGGATTTAAAGAATGAAACATATTACTAAAGGAGCCCAAAAACTAGGTCTTAAAATAAAAATAAATAAAATTAGATTTCTGAGCCTTTGTGTATAGTTGGGAATTTCCGATGCACAACAACACAAAAGTTTACTTTCTGTGTTTAAGAATATGTCTACTTTGCTATTACTCACTGAGTACTTTCTGGGGCGATGAGCGGGTCGGGCTCAAAGGTATCTGAGCAGTACTAGGATTTCGTAAACGTTTCCTTGATACTGGTGAGGGTGGCAAAGGTGAGTGTGACCTTGGTTTAGTGACCTTCTTAATCTCTAAGTGATCAACTAAGCTGCAGTCTGGTAATGAGTTGCCTGTGAAATTTTTATTTTAAAAAATTTGGTAAAAAAATTTTTCATGGAAATTACCTAAACTGTATCAGCTTTTATCAAGCGAATATGCATTGATTTTCAACAGCTTTCAAAAAAATATGAGGCTTTATTATTATGAGAGCTACAAATGTTGTTACTGGACAGTAATGTATTTTTTTGTGCTTAAAGAACTGACATGAAAATGCATTGAACTGACATGAAAATGCATTGAATCATTCAACTGAGTTTATTTTTATAACTGACAAAGCTGTCAAATTCACCATCTAGAAATGATTTATAACCAAAAAAAATGATAGTGATGACTTTGATCAGAAGGTGTGAGAGAATAAAAGTACAATGTTGTTTCTAAAAATTCTAAATAATAATTTAATAATAATTAATAATTTAATTCAATTTAATATTTCACAATATTTAGACCAAGTCCTTTTTTGGAACAAAATATATAATTTTGCTTTACTTCTAAAAGTAATTAATACTATAAAAATGACATCATTCACATAAAAAACAGTACACACATTTAAGCAATATCAATTATCAATTAAAAGGGGGTATTAATTTAAATTGTTAGTTCAGTTTTGCATGTGTTCTCAAAATGCTGGACAAGTCAGAAGGCAAAGATCCTACCACTTTAAAAATCTGTTCTAATTATTGAGCTTGTCTTATCTTACTTAAGCTTGAGAGTGGGTTAACTTGACCCAACCATTAAATGAAAAAATAAAAAAATTCATATGCTACAATAGCATTTTATACTCTCCATCATGAAAAGTTGTATTCTTACAACCTATATTGGAATACCATATTCACCAATTCGTTATAATCCTGCATATTTAGTATGGTTTTGAAAGTTAATCACCTATCTTACTTAAGCTTCAGAGTGGCTTAACTTTGACCCTACATCAAATGAACAAAAAAAAAAAAAAAAAAAAAAAAAAAAAAAAAAAAAAAATTCTATGCCACAATGGCATTTTCTACTTTCCATCATACAAAGTTATATTCTTACAACCTATATTAGAATATCATATTCCCAAAGTCCTCATAATACTGCATATTTTGTATGATTTTGAAAATTTATCACCTAAACGCCCCTGAGATCCAATACAGAACATCAGATAATTAATAATATTCACCCTAAACAAATAATAAAAAAACTTACATCTCAACTTTTCGGATAGATATTCTTGAACTTCTGTTTCCTTCAACTTGCTCTCTTGACACGCATTTTGACGATCAATATCATTCTTTACTTTTCCCTCATTCAAAGATAATGAAGGCTCTCCAGGTGCCACCATCAACTGTGGTGTGGGCTCTTGTGAGAAGTTGCTGGCTGTGTTTATAGTATCTTTGACAATCTTGGCCAGATTACTCAACGTGCTGGATATATTTGGCAAAAGAAGTGGACTGCTAAAATTTTCCTCAATTAACTGCTGGAGTAATGTTGGGTTACTTCTCTGTTGGAGGGCTTCAGCTTTTGGGTCATCAGAAGGTAAGGCTGATAATATTTTGTCCAGAGCCTAAAAGTTATATATCTTTATTCAATTTTTAAAAAAAAAATTATTGTATTTTTAAGTTAAACACCAGTTGGTAATAAAATAAATAATACAATTGACAGATTTCTCTGCGATTCATGAATGATGTTCATTGATGTTTATTCAATTAAAAACTAATTACATATGGACAATAAAATTACAACTTACTTTTGAAAGGTAATCTTTGGCAGATGAAACTTTCTGATCAAGAGCCAAGCATTGTAAAAAAGCAACAGCTGCATCTTCATAGCATCCAAGACCATAAATTGCACATCCTTTTCGAAAATATCCTTTAGGCCAGTCAGGCCGTAGTTGTATCACTAGTTCTGCATCAGCAAGAGCATCTTCGTATCGATCCAGAGAGGCATATGCATGGCACCGATTACTTCGAAGAAGATGATCATTTGGAGCTAAAGAAAGAAAAAAGATTAATACATGGTCTGTAAACAAGTTTTATTTTATTAAGTCTTAAAATAAATTTACTTAGAACAAGCAACTTTATATTATACCATCTTCAAAAAAAGAAATTAACACACCATTTTATTTTTTAAATTTTATTACATCTTTTCAACTTTGTCTAACCACTTATCTTTCTCTAATCTTTATCACCTTAAAATTTGCATTTACTAGTGCCATGATAAATAAGAGTTTTAATTTAAATAGTTTAATTTGAATGTATTGAGCTAAAATGGTTAGTTCTAGATCTGTAAAACTCTTTGTTATACCTCTATTTTCAGAAAAGATGTAAATTAAAGTTGGAGCATTTCATATGTTAACTGAAAATTTAATCTATTTAGCTGCCATTCTGAAAATATAACAAGTGTACTAACACACATGCACATTCAAATAGTAAGCATATTTACTATGACAATAAAATTTATTGATAAAGAAAACATAATTAAAGTATTACCTACAAAATCACTTGTTTTACTAAACTTAAAATATGTAGAAAACATGATAAAATAATCAAGATGTTCAACAACCAACAAATCTTGTTAGACAATGTAATTTCAATGTGATACAAATTTCTATATTCACTACCCCCTCTTGCTTTTTTCAATGCCCTTTTCAGAAATTTTTCTCTTTGTTGCTGTTGCCATTTTTTGCAGGGATAAAAAGTTTCACCATGTTATATATGCAAGAACAACACAACCACACTACCCTGGGAACACATCATCATAGAAATGAACACTGTGAAACTAAAATATATGTGCCAGCTCTAACAGCACAACCTACCCTTGCTGCAGGACTACCTGCCTTTTCAAAACAAAACAAATGTAGACTAAGCCGCTATTGGGTGTGCGTGATTGAAGATGTCCATTGGTTCTGTGTTATTGATTTCATCCCCAAAATGTGATCTAATAAATTTTTTTAAAGTCACAAAAACTTCATAATTTTTTTAACTGTGTTTTGATATTTGATTATATAACCAGCAGATTTTAATAACCTGTGACGATAGAAAATAGCAATGGCGCCGAGCCTACTGTATATTCCACAAATATTATTACAGTTTTTAGGTCAAATAGTATTTAGTTTTTATAAAATGGGGTTAGATCATGTATATGAATTTACCATTTTAAGCATTAATATTTTCGCCAAAAGGATCTATCAAAATTATTCATTGAAATGCTGATTTTCAAAAATGTGCCATAAATTATTGAAAGAAGTTTTTGTAGTGGGGACTAAAAAGAAACATTTAAAAAATAAAAATATTAACAGTTTTTGAAATTTTGTTATCTTGCTTTAAAAATGGTACTTAATTTAAAAAAAGAATGAAAAAAAAATTCTCAAGAATGAAAAATTATTCTCCACACACTATGAGCCAAAATACAATGAGTATTTATCATTTAAATTCATTTGCATTGATTACCTGAAATTTGTTCAAAATCAGGGGGGGGGGTGTTCCCCTTAAATAAGTTTAAATTTTCACTATTTCTCACCTTTTCCCTAAAAATACATTCTAAAAACAAAATTCATTTCAAACAAATTTTCCAGATAAGAAATGCAGAGTACCTAAAGTCCATTGGAAGCATCCCTGATTATATAAATGGGAGTTATTAATATGGTTACATCGAATATTCACCTTTTGCCTTTTACTTGGCCACCAAACTTTTCTACTAGACCTACTTCTCATTACACTTAGTGTCAAAAACTCATTCCCCCTCAGAGACTTCATCGCAACACTTTAAACAAAAATAAAGATGAAAAATTCACTTAAGTAATAGTATGGATAGGTAGTTGGGGGTAGTATCTATCCTAATGGCTTACCCCCCCCCCCTCCCCACAAAAAAGCAGTAGATTATGGCTGGTCCAAAGTACATCTTGAACTAGTAGTTCTGAAATTAATCCATGTTCCCAAATAAATACTTTCGCTTTATTAGTTTTATGTCTTTTATATCCCTACTCCCTTATCCTCACAAAATTGTGACCATTCTCCCTGCCTTAGGCTACCAACTCAACTGTTTGAGATCATAAATGATAAGAGTAGAACTCACATTTATAAATTTTAATAAATCACACAACAAATAAGTGAATTGAGATCTGACAGCATTCTAGCAACATTTTTCCCTTGTCTAATCTCAACACAAAAAAAATAATTAATTAAATTTTAAAAAATGGTCCCTTTTGTCTGTGATGTAATTTAATATAGGGTGGCAAGTGCCATCCTTATCAGTTGGCATTCATACTGAATCACAATCATCATATTTTTAATTTTATTTATAATAATTTACAGGCCAATTAAATTAATCAGAAAGCTGTCAAAACAACTGAAGGAAAAAAAAAAACAGAAAAAAAGTCACAGAAAAAGTCCTATAAACTCCTAAGTTTTAGTGTTAATGAAATTATATTTGTAAGACCATATATTATATGGTTATTTACTGAAATAAAAATTGCAGTAGCTTATTCGGATCGTGTTTTGATTATCGTTGGGGATTAAATATGTGTTTGTTATTTATATTATATGTACACATTATAATTCAACATTTAATAATATGATTTATTATTACTCAGTTATACATTTGTGTGTGTTATTTGTATTATGTATACATATTAAAATCACAGATTTAATTCTTTGCTTTATTCAAAATTAGTTTATGCATCTTCAGTCTGGGACCCATTTACCCAGAAGAGCATTGACAGGTTGGAGGCGGTCCAGCGACGGGCAGCACACTTTGTCCTGAACCGCTATAGGAATACCTCTAGTGTTGGCAGCATGCTGGAAACACTGGGCTGGTCACCATTGGAGGAACGACGACGACTATCCAGGCTCTCCATAAGTACAAGATAAATAATGGGCAGGTCCACTGCTCCAGCATTAAACAGAAACTCGTCCCTCTCCCCCATAAACAGCAACGAGGCCATGACAGGCAGTTCCGGCTCATACCAGCGAGAAGCCAGTATAGTAACTGCTCACTCCTGCCAAAGACAATCAGGGACTGGAACAAGCTTTCAAAAGGAACAGTTGAGGTGACAACATTTGACACATTTGCATCTATTGCCTCAGGCCTTCCAACCCCCAGTGCATGATACCTTCACAAAGTAACCCTTGCAACCAGTGAAATATCCTCATCAACACCAGGCACAGAAACATTGCAAATTCCCTCTACATGCTTAGTAGCCAAAATGATCAATACATTGATCGTGGGCCCTTAATATATAGAAGTTACATGATTATGCATGAAGCCAATAAACATAAATATTACAGATTTAATAACAATAAATGGTAGTAAGCAATTGGGAATTTTATTCTCGCATCTGATCTCACCATCACATCTCCAGAAAAAATGGAAAGCAAGAGACATTGCATTGTAGTACTAGTTTACCAATAACTCTATTCAGACAAAGTACAAATGGCCTTAATGTGGTCATCGGTAATAAGTGGGGAGGGGGTCAATGTCGCTTTGGACAGAAATATATTAATTGTCAGACTTTACCAAGGTACTCCCCATGCTGTTGTACAATCACATACCTGTATTCACACTAAAACTCATTATTGTCACCAAGAGAGTGTGGTGGACTGAAAGATTTACAAATTTGTTTGTTCCCCAATCTTGTCATGATTTATTTATGATATCTGAGATCTGATTTTTTTCTGTGACTTTTTTTCCTACAGCACCATAGCCTATAGTCATTTATATTTAGTATAATAAAAGTAAATTATAGGGCTCATTTATTAAACTTGTACTGGACTATGACCTATGCTTTTAGTCTATAGCAGGCCTGCACAACATACTGCCCCCCAGCACCCACTTTGCGGCCCGCAAAGTAACGAAATATTCTTTATTCTTATTATTTTCTTAATAGCTTTCCTCCCTATCCTATTTTCTTTTGGCCCGCACAAATTTTTCATAAAGTATTACGGCCCGCCTTACATTTTGAGTTCTGCAGGCCTGGTCTATAGAAATAAGTACTACTTACTTATATACCCTAAATAATTACTTACAACAGTAGTAACAGTATGACTATGACTAATGAGTAGTACACTATTACTAAGTTACTATACTTATAGTAATACTTTCTATTCTACTAGACATATGACTAATACTAATTCTAATACTGACCCACTGTAATTAAAATTTACTTTAGAATTTTAGTATTAGAATCTTAATTATAGTGGTACCTCGACATATGCGTGCCCTTACATACAAGATTTTTGAGATACGAGCCGTCTAACAAACCATGTTTTGCTTTGACATACAAGAAAAATTTGAGATATGAGGAACTGGGTCGGCCGGCTGCACACAAACACACCAGTTGTGCCTCTCACATTGTCAGTGTGCTTGTTTGCCTCGCTATTGAAGCATCTTTGATAAGTTGTGCTCGCGAATTGTGCTTTTTGTTCATTTACAGTACTTAATCTTTTTATAACCATGGGTCCGAAGAAAGTGGGTGGAAAGGTCATTGCTCAGAAGAAGATGATGTTTATTGAATTAAAGCGTGAAATCATAGAAAAACATGAGCAAGGTGTGCGAGTGACTGACTTGGCGAGGCAGTACAGGGGTAGTACTTCATCAGTATGTACTATGCTTAATCAGAAGGAGTCGATAAAAGGTATAACACCAGCTAAGGGAGTTACAATAATTTCTAAGCTCGGGACCGCTCTCCATGAAAATATGGAGAAACTGCCGATTGTGTGGGTGACGGGGAAGCAACTTGAAGGAGATACCTTAACGCAGGGCACTTTATAAAACCAGTTTATTTCTTTACATTCTCATTCTCTGTTTTCATACAATATCTGTCATTTATAAATACATTTTTCTTATTCAAAAACACGTAACATAAACAACTTGGCTGACATTTTGGGGGCTGGAACGGATTAATGGCATTTCAATTAATTTCTATGAGGACCGAGGAAAATTGCTTTGAGATACCAACAAACTGATTTTTACTAGCATGGTTACAGAACGAATTAAATTGGTATCTAGAGGTACCACTGTACTAGTACTAATACTAGCTAATAAGCTTGTAATTATTTATTGTTAGTGTAAGTGCAGCAACTTTTAATTTTAATTAGGCAATATAGGCCTACCACTACTACTACTAGCTAAGTTTCAGCTAAGCTAAGTTTGTAATTATAATTTAATTATAATTATTAATAATTAATAAAATAAAATATAAAATAATATAAAAATAATATATTGTTCGAAAGTGAAAGAAAGTGCAACAACTAGCTCCTAGCCTATCTATCATATTTTTTTCAATATTATTCAAAGGGAAAGTATAAGTATTATTACTTTCTTATATATAACTTACCCATTTCAATTGCTTCTGTATACACTTTTATTGCATTTATGTATTCACCTTTGGTGAAATAATCATTGCCTGCTTTTTTTAAGCTAGACGCTTTGCATTCGTTTGGAAACCACTTGTCAATAAGATTAGTTAGTATCACATTTGAATTTAGATTGCGCAATTTTAGCCTATAATGAACTATTCCACACACTTCACATGATTTTGATTTATCCTTTTCAAAACATTTTCTACAGAATGTATGCCCACACGGCACAGTGACAGGATCTGCCAATAGTCCACGGCAAAGACCGCAAGTAAACATACAGCTTCTTTTAGTTATCTGTTGGGATCCAGAATTAGTCAAATCTTGCTTCACAGTATCAATTAATCCAACAACAAGATGTTTCAATTTTTCAGGTGTTACTTTTCCATATCTGTAGGCGATTTTATAAGATTCAAAGGCTTTAGCAAAGTTTCCACCTCGGGCACAACTGTCGGCTAGTCCTAAAAATAGCTCTGATGTTGGCCCATTTTCACGGATAGTTCGCTCATAAATATCAGCAGCTAATCGAAAATTATTTGTACTGAATGCCTCTTTCGCCAGATCCACCATTCTCAGTGATCATGGGGTAACAGCACTCAAACAGATGAGATCTTTAAAACATGAAAGGTAATTATAGGAACTCCAACTTCCTACACTACGACTAAGCCACATAATGTTATGATACACATGTCATGTAACAATTTTCGTTATGTAAAGGTCACATGACCAAAAATGAGCCATGTGATTGGCTGAACTTGACCGACAAGTTATACAAAGTGATTTCGATTAGAAAGGTCGTTCGTTGAAAAAGCCTTTGCCTTTGTTTATTAATATTATACTAAATTTCGTTGTATTATACAAAATAAACTTAAACTTTAAAACCTCAATAGTGCTATAAGTGTTTTATTAAATGGAAAAAATGCTGAAATAATAATACAAAATATTTTCTTAAGCCTACATAGCCTTTTCTTTATTAGGTAATAAGTTATATAATGAACACCATACGTCACCATGTTTATGATACTATACAGCCTATTAAATATTATATACCATATATAATAATATTGCTTGTCCTGATAAATACGGATTGTTAAGTCTAAGAGTCAGTATAACACTAATAACAGGTTACACCGAATCTTATGTCTATAATATACATCGTTTTTTTTTTTTTTTAAGAAAAAGTGTTTTTTACATGAAGCTGTCTGTCAGTGTTTAGTTCTATTTTCACTAAAGTACACACTAATAAAGTGCGTCAATAAATGACGTCACACTACTTTTAAATGTAAAAATCAGTAAAAGCCGTAAATTAAAAAAAAACAAAAAAACGGATACCTCTTCTGTCTATAAAAAAGAAAAAGGTGAGGTTAGCACTTTTTTTTCTTTATATTCAGGGGCGAGATTTTCGAGATTTTTTGTCGACGAGGAGAGGGCGGATAAAATTTTGGGCCGCCTCGCAGCATGACACTAAACCAAGCTACGTCACTGATTTCACGTATTGAAAATTTTAATCTTTAACGTGGACTATCGAGGCCAAAACAGGCGTCGAAATTGAACATTTTTCTTCCTTCATGTTGAATTTAAAAAATGGAGTGAGGCAGTCTGTCTGTCACGGCTGCAGTTAATAATTTCAGAGAAGGCCACCTGACCGCAGAGGCATGGGCGCCCGCAGAAAACTTTCCAGGGGGGGAGGGGGCAAAAAAT